GTCTCGGACTGGCGTCGCGACGTCGACGCCGGAAAAACAGGTGGCGAATTTTCAATTGACAATCAGCGTGGTGGCCGATGTGAGTTGCGAAATTGATCGAAAAATTAGCAGATACCAGTTAATTCTAAAAGGGTATACCAAAAAAACTTCCATTCAAATGTTTTATAAAATATGCATTATGTGGGCATATAATAATAACAGTAGTAAACGGTCTTTATTTACTTGTTTATTCTTCCAAATATAACAGAAAGAAAAAAAATCTCTATAAATATTTTTAGTTCAAAACATCACGTGAAGTGAATTGAAAATGGAATGGAAGTACTTCTTACTGTTCATAGGAATGTTTTTGTTGGTTTCCGCGTTTTGCCGTGGTCTTCTTTGGTTATAACAATTGGTTATAACAATTTGTCTCCTCTTCAACAATGTCTCGAAACAGTTAACAAAATGGCGAGGAACTGTGAACTGGATATATTCAGTATTACAGAGGGACAACTCCTCCGAATGCTCAAATGTGTCTGAATCTTTTTACGGTTATTTTATTATTTATTGTTCTATATTTTATATCGATTTTAACTGTATCAATGGTACTCAATGAATACTATATGTAAGGAACTTTTGAAAAAACTGTACATCATGTAAGTGGAAACCATTCTGTTTGTTGTTCAGTGTGAATAAATTTCTATTCTATTCTTTAATTTCCAAACGTTTCAACTGCAACTGCGACAGTCATCTTCAGTGGCGTAGTCGAAGTACACTTCTTGACGAGTCAACTGAAACTGGAGCTCTCATTTCTGCCGTGTCATTTATAGTGCTAATTTTTCGCGCACTTTCTGTAATGGCGGGTTCGCGCGTACTTCCCGCGCGATTTGGGGACTTGGCTTCGTTTTGGCGCTTTTCGACGCCGTTCGCCAGATCTTTGGTACATATTTTTTCTCTTCCTTTCTATTGAAGTGCTCTTGGTGTTTGTGTATTTCTAAGGCTTCCAAATACATTCTTGTTGTTTTCCGCCAGGGAATACAAGATCCTGTTCGAAAATACCGAGAGGCTATTCAACAACAATATATTTAGAGGCTGTTTAACGGACGAGTCCAGAAAATAAACGAGTCATAACACCTGAAGGACATGTATCTATTGACATTCTGTCTTTGTGATATTTTATAAATAAATGAAATTGCTAATTTTGTTTGGTACTTCAAAATAATAGTACAAATTCAGTTATTGGCAAAATATATGAAAAATTGAAATTGAAAGTCTATTCTATAGTTTCTAATGAAGTTCATTCACTGAAGTTGGTAGTCAATTGTTGAAAAGCAGAATATATAAAAAAAAGATGATTTGAAGTTTATTCCACAGTTTACTAGATTTGGGTGAAGAGTAATTGAGTACATGTGGATGTTTTCCTCTAATAAATAATAGAAACGAGGGCGCACAGTAGGTACGTATTTTTCTAGATGGCTATGACTTTGAATTATGACAGTACTTTCATAATAATTGTATATAGTTATTATCTTAGTTTTCGTCAATACGACAAAAATAGTGTACCTACACAGGTTGCTTCATTCAGTTTGCTAATAGTTTGTTGCAATTTTACCAAATTTTATATAATTCTTTGAGATGAGTAGCCAAGTACGATCCATTTCTACAAGTCTCCAGATATAAGAATATACGCTGACACGTCAAGCTCACCGCCTCTTATTGGCAAACATTCTCGTCTTGTTTCATTTCACTCAATGTTCATCGTCTGATTTCAAAATGTGTTTTGACAATTTCAATCATGTTAATTGTCTTTTTCTGTTACAATGGTTTCGATTCTGCTGTGTTGTTGGGTATTGTCTAGGAAAAAAGTAGACCATTTCGTTTAATCTTTATTCTGAACATTATTGTCGATGATTGTATATGTGATTCAAAAAAGCATTCAGTTCATTGTGACTTTTATTCCATACAGTGAAAACATCGACAAAGTATCTTCTCCACCACACTTTTGGGCAATTATGATAACTTCAAGTCATAGCCACGCAAATTTCTTGTTGATAAAAGTCAACTCCAAGTTGAAAATCGTTTTCCTTCATACATATAACCTGAAAGTTATAATATACCGCTAACATCCATCTTTGTTCGATGTACTAAGTTCTTTCAATTCACAAACTAGATCTCCATCAGCCATCTACAAAAGTAAACAGCCTCAGTGATCTTCATCCCATAAATCTGACATCTGTTCCCCTCAAAATCGCCGAAGGAGCTATACTTTCTCACACATACAAATATTTGTTGAAGAACAGCATATTCTACCTTAAAACCAGTCAGGCTTTCGTATAGGTCATAGCAAGTGTTCGCATTATGTACTGTGACAGACGATTTCTTCAAGACCTTAAGCTACCAAGACCTTAAGCTACCTATTGGATAGGTCGAACCCTTTTAATACTGTCAGCCTTGACTGTCTAATTCGCCAAACTCCATTAGATTCTATGGGTTTAACGGTCGAATTTCATACTGACTCAAACCCTGTTTCTTCAACCCATCACTACTTTCCAGTGTAAATGACCACCTCACATTACTCACTTCGGACACCCGAATTGTCAATAATGGCGTAACTCAGGGTTAGGTTCTCGCTCCCACTTGCAGCAGTTAATGAAATACTGTAATTTGCATATGCAAATCTGCATATCTGCAAAAATGTGATACGCTGACAAAAAATAAACAACGATCTTTCAAGCAAGAGGTGGAGAAAGACTCCCCACTCCTAAACCCCGCAAAAAGCCAAAGTATTCTTATTCGATCATGCTTCAATTTGAGCCGCCCTGATGAGTTCCTTGTATGTCTTGACAAAGAATTCATTCCATTTTTCTCTGAAGATTAATGTCTTGGTGTTACTTTTGACTAGCAGCTTGAATTCTCCAAACAATTAGGTGTCATCGCAAAGAGAACCTACATCAGCTTTGAAAAACTAATCACCTTCAAACGAGATCTGGACACTACCACTAAAAATGATTTGCAACTCTCTTGTCCTCTCGTATACTATCTATGCTGACGAAGTTTTTGGACCTTGTTTATCAAATGAAGGGCGTGCAAGATTACAAAAGATGCAACATCAATGCCTTCGTTTTATAAAAGCGGATCCCCCTCAAACACTTGTCACATCCCATATTAGGGAATTGCAACTTTAGAAATTGGATGAAACGCGTTTTGTTCTCTACGTTTGTCTCATCAAGAAGATTTTGGCTACTAGACTACCCAATTACCTTTGTTAATTATTTCATTAGTTTTGAGTTATTACATCAAAATACAGGTAAAATTATTAATATTTGCAATCTGGCAACACTGTTCGCAAATCTCATTCTAAACCCTGTTCGATTGTCCTTCGTCATAAACTGTGGATGAAAAGTTGTGGGTAACTTCACACTAATTCAAAAAGATCTTGGCTACTAGACTACCCAATTACCTTTGTTGATTATTTGATTAGTTTTGAGTAATTTTTCATTTTCCAGATCTGTTTTTGGGCTTGGTTGATATTATTTCAAATGTACTTATTCTCTGTGTGTGTAATTTTGTGATTTATGAATACTTATTAGTATTATTATTATTATCATTACCTTACAATTTGAAAATTTTATCGATAGGTACATTCGTGAAAAGACTTTCAACTTCGACACTCGTACAAATGTTGAGAAAGGTATAATAAACTGCTTCTATAAGAGAGCGAAAACAGTTTGCAATACAGTGGCATTTTGATGAAAAGGTTATTGATAAAATCTGTTTTGACACAGATTCCTTCGTAAATTCTACAATAAATATAATAGAAGGGAAACAATCATTCAACATCCAAATGAATTTACACATAGCAACACAAATTCAACAACTACACGTACCGATTCAACAACCACCAACACCTTTCACAACTTAATTACTTATTTTCCAGGAGTATCTGACAAAAAAGAACGAATTGAAAAAAGATATGATTTTAGGACGTCTTACAAAAAAAAATACACCGAGATGTATACTCATACACACAAAACCCACAACACAGAAGGTGTGTTATAAGGTATCGTGTTCTTGTATTAAAAGTTATATTGCAAAAAGTTCAATCCATTTTAAGTGCATGAATAACTACATTACATCAGAAATAGATAATTAACAGGATAATAATTTTGAAATCAGAGTGACATCGACTGGAATGGAACAAGACGAGAATAATCCAATGAACTACTCTCTAAAAGGAAGCTTAATCGAAATCAAATATATGAAAAGTGGCAAAATTGCAACACATCAATATCAGAGAATACCCTGTACAACATCGAATGACATATAAGTCCTTTGACTGTGTCTTATGAAAATCAAAGAAGAAAAACTACAATTTGTATTAGATTTTAACAATTCTGAAAACGGGGGCATATTTCGATCTTAGAAAAGTTAAGATAAGTATCTATTCAACTCTTACTTTTTTTTAATATACCTGTACGAAGTTCTTCATAACAATTTTATTTTTTTCTGATTATGTTTGGTGAAAATACCAGAAACGTCAATCAAAAACTGATTTTATTTGTAAAAAATTATTTTATTAGGGATCTAATAACAGTGCAGCTTTTTAAAAATCAATATTGAATCCGTCAAAATGGTTTCGCAGCCGAGGTTTTCAGTGTCATTTTTTCTGGGTTTGAAGGTCGTGGATTTTTTGAATTCCTTCCTGACGTTTCGCTGGCGTGAGTGGCTAGCTTCTTCAGAGGTTTATGCATCCTGAGTAAATATCTTCGATGACTGGATATTACGGCTGCGTAACGTGTCTTTATGTTGTCTCCTCGGTCAGTTTGGTGTGCTAATTAATACCTGTACCTGGCATAGGTATAATTACGTAAAGCGTGTTGATGTTGATTCAGGTAGTCTGGCTTGATAATACCTGTACCTGGATTTGGTAAATTGTCAATAACATTCATTGACCCTTTTCTACCTGCCGTCATGCTGTTTACTATTCTTGAACTTCTTAGAATGGGATTCCATATTCGATTGAAATCCAAAGCTTGTTCTTTTCTGTTGAAATTAAACGTGTTTTCACCAGGATTATTTGTGATTTCACCAGGATTTTAATTTTTATCTTGATCTCTGTTTTTCTGGCTGTCAACATGACAGCCAATTTCAGATCGGTTAAGGCTCGCTATAGTTGTAATATCAAAATCGTGTAATTTTGAATCGTCTAGGAGAGGATCACGATAATACTCTCTCATGGGAAATTGCTGTTTAAAAATTTGTGGAATGTGAGTATTTTGATAACCCATAATAATATTTACAGTTATTGATTATTGTAAAGAAGGGGTTCCCAACCGGCGGTACACGTACCCCTGGTGGTACGTAGGAACGTTTCAGGTGGTACGCGTGAGGAGTGGGGCGGCGAGAGCTGTGTTCCCCCCTTTCCCCACACCTACATTAGTCCGCCTCACAATAGTGCCAGTGATTGTGCATTGTTTATATGTTGTTGTAGTGGTTCGTTGTGGGTGTTGTACTGATTAATTGTGATTTCGTATAGAGAAACTGAACTATGAAACGATTCCTGACGTCCTCTTTTACTTCAAGGGATTGTACTTAAAAATATAAATCACCGGCCAATGATGAGCTACTTATAGTACGGGTTTATAGTGAAGCCAGAGACTGAAACCAGTGACATTTCTATTCCTCAATGTGTTGTATGTCTCACAACACTTTCGAACCAAAGAATGAAGCCTTCTTTACTGCCGCGGCACCATAATACTAAGCACCCTAATTTGATTGGTAAGCCCATTGCGTTTTTTTCAAGAAAGAAACCCATTGTTTGACGAAGTTTATCAATACTGATAGGTTACGTTAGGCTAGGTCCAAAGTAAGTGGGTCTATTCCCTACAGTAATCCATTAACTGTTTGATATCAAGCTTCGAAAGATGAATAAACGCCTTGGAGTGAGCCAATCCTGGAAGATTCTGCCATGAGTCCATAAATCTTCTTGCCATCCAGGTGTTCAATCTTTTTTTGACAAAGCCCAAAGCGATGCCAATGACAGGTTCTGGTCCGATGGAGCTACTTGCAGCACTCTCCTTTGCAAGGGAGTCAGTAGCCTCATTGCTTTCCAGGCCAGTAAGGCCAGGAATCCAACCAGAGATAATCTTTAAGTATTCCTATTGAGGAGAGTCGTTTTTGGCAATTCGCTTCCAATTTAGACGTTACTCGGTAGGAGCAAAGAGCTTCCAACGCCGCTTGACCGTCCGAGAATATTTTTATTGACTTGTGTGTGAGGTTGGATTCTTCCAATTTCTCCGCAAACAATTCAATAGCGTAAATTTCCGCTTAAAATACAGTGGCATAGGTTCCTAGGCAGGTTGATATCTCTGTCCTGGGTCTGCGACTGAAAACACCTGCACCGGAACCGGAAGGTGTTTCTGATCCATCTGTGAACCAACAACTATCTGCTCTTAATATTTCCTTCTCCCGAAGGATTCAGCCCTCTCTACTCGGAAACAGTAGGTACTTTAAAAGGCAGTTCGTAGTTGATAGTTGGAGACATACAGTCAGAGGTCATTTCCAGAATGCTGTGACTTCCAGTGTCAACCAACAGTCTGTTGCACTCTGCATTAAATTGATTTGTGCAATTGGCAATGCGCACAACTCTATATGCAGTCCATCTAGCCTCTCTCTCCAGAAAAACGTGAAGAGGAGGTAGATCTAGAAGGATCTCTATGGCCGCTGACGGTGTGGTACAGATGGCACCACTGATGGCCAGACAGGCCTGTCTCTGTAAGCCAGAGAGCTTCGCCTGTGCCGTTTTCTGTAAAGCCTTCGGCACCATAACTGATCATTGGTCTGACAATCATCACATACATCCAATGGATTTGTTTGGGACTCAAACTCCAAGTTTCACCATAAATCGTTCGACATGTCCATAGGGACAGTCTGGCTTTGTGTAAAACTTTTTCCAAGTGAGCGTTCCAGGTGAGTTTTTTATCAAGGACAATGCCAAGATATTTCACCTCCGTTCCAAATGGAATGACCTCACCATTGAGAGAAAGTGGCGTTAGATCGTCCAATTTTCTCCTTCTGGTGAAGGGGATTATCACAGTTTTACTGAAGTTGACAGATATCTGCTCCCTGAGGCACCAACTGTGAACAACAGCCATCTTTCTTTGGAGGATATTACTAGGATTTTACCCTTCCCGACGTGGACCTTGCCAAGATGACAAGGTCATCTGCATAAGCTTGCAGATCTACTTTTTTCTATCGAGGGCATCAAGCAGACTATCGATCAGGAGCGACCACAGAAGGGGAGATAGTACCCCACTTTGAGGGCAGCCTCTGGTGACCCTGAGCCTAATGGCCTCGCCTTGAAGAGTCGTAGTTGCAGTTCTGTTTACCAGCATGACATATATATAGCCAGTTATGGTCTATTCTATACCTTTCCTAGCCAGAGATGATCCTATAGATTTAGGTAGTGCATTGTCAAATGCTTCTTCAATATCGAGAAATACAGCAACCGTAATCTCCTTGTTGTCAGGGGATTGGGAGATTTTCTCTACAAGGCTGTTTGATGCTGAATCTGTCAGTACTGATACTAACTTGATAAAGGCGTCATATCTTGCTAGTTTAAAAATAGCAAAAGATGGAAAGCCTCACAGAATCGGTGAGACGCTTTTACTGCCGGCCGCTGTGGATATGGTTCAAGCTGTGTTAGGAGAAAAGGCAGCCAAAGAAATTGAAAAAATACCACTGTCGAATATAACAGTAAAAAGACGAACTGTCGATATGTCTAATAATATTGAAGGACAGCTGGCTTCAAATCACCAAGAATGCACTTACTTGGCACTTCCACTTGGCGAAAGCACCGATGTTACAAACATGGCGCAACTACTTGTTTTCGTGCGATTTGATTATAATGAAGAGATGACAGAAGAGTTGTGGTTTTCCAAACTACTTGAATCAAATACCACAGCGGAACTCTTTCTTAAGGTAATTGATAAATACGTGCTCAAAGTAGACATTGCTTGGTCCAAGTTTATTGGCTGCAGCAAAAATAAAGGAAGTTACTCCGAAATGCAAAAGTACGCACTATGTCATCCATCGAGAAGCATTAGCTGCTGAAGGTAAGCCAGAAAATTTCAACTTCCTTCTATCAGATGCCGTGAAAGGGCTCTGAACAAAATATTACTCTCTTCGATGAGTGAAGAAATAGGTGGCAAGTTCAAGGCTTTGAAAATTTTGAACCGTTTCTTTGAAGTGACTTGGTAAATTTTCATGTTTTAACGTGAAAAAATCATGATACGAAAACATTGTTTGCTGAACTTAGGACTTCAGGGACACAACACAACAGCCTTCACAGCCAGTGACAAAATGAGCTCCTTCAAAAGAAAATTGGTCCTGTTTTGTTCACAAATACTGCATTTCTCGCTCTATCATGCCAGATGTGGTTGCAGATATCATTGTTCAATTGGAAGACCTTCAAAAAAGCTTCAAGAAGTATTTCTCTAAAGATTATTCGAAAGTGGACTGAAATCCTTTATCGGAAACCTTACCAAATGAACTGGAACTAAAAAAGTTTCATCGATCTTACAGAAGAAAGATTATTTTAATTAACTTCTGGATCGGATGTAAAACCAGGGTACTCTTCCGGCAGGCTCTGCTATTTTTTATGCCATTTGTTACGAGTTACTTGTGTGAGAGTGTATTTTCTGAACTCTTGTACATAAAATATAAACATAGAAGCAGGATAAGTGTTGAAGAGGACTTGAGAGTGAAGATAAATTCCATTTTTTCTAATGTTGATTTTTCAATTACAGGCAAACAACAAGTTTCGCACTTAAGACTATAAAAGTATATTTTGTATGATGATCATTTTGTTGCTGAGTTTGTACTAATTTTTTATTTGTTTGTTTTTAGTCCAATGGGCAATATATAAAACCGTAAATATATACCATTTCAATTTTTTCATTTCTCCTTCATTATAAGCATATTATAAGTAAACAAATATCTAACCATTAACGTTTGTTTGAAGGTGATTGTGAAGAATTCAAAGCATTTTGTCGAACTACTAGGGTCAATTGAGGTCACACAGGTAGATCAACTAATTAGTTTCGACGTGGAAAGCCTTTACACCAACGTTCCGGTCGAAGAAGCATTCCAAATCAAACAGAGAAAGCTATCCGAAGACGGGAACCTGAAAGAGAGAACTAATCTACCTATAGAAGTAATCATGGAATTACTAGGATGATGTGTACGAAACTGTTATTTCCAACTGAAGGACGAATTCTTTACACAAGATGAGGGACTGCCAATGGGTTCGCCACTTTCACCAGTCATAGCCAACATATATATGGAGTGGTTTGAGACTCTGGTCATTGAAAAGGGCCACAAGAAACCTCGAGTCTGGTTGAGATATGTTGACACCTTCATAATATGGAACCATGGGAATACTGAACTAGACGCCTTCCTGAAATACATCAACAGCGTGAGACCTTCCATCAATTTCACAATGGAGAAGGAAATCTACAACGAATTGCCATTCTTAGACGTTTTGGTGAAGAGGACCGACACTAAGTGGGAAACATCTATATACCGAAAACCCACTCATACGGGACAGTATCTGAACCACGAATCCACCCATCATCAATCGATTAAAAAAGGAATCATCAAGACTCTATTAGACCGTGCTTTTGGGCTTTGTAATACGAAGGAAGGTCTCGAGAAGGAACTAGACATCATCAAAAATGATCTTCAACGGAATGGCTACTCCAAAGCGATGGTGGAAAAGACTTTGACTAGAAGATAGCAGGAGTCTCGCAAGGAAAAGAAGCCGTCACAACCAGTGCTTGCACTTCTCTACATCAGAGGATTATCGGAGAGGATAAGAAGAATTGGTTCCAAGTACAACATCAGAACCTTTTTCAGATCCGGTAACACTATCCGTAGCAGCCTCACGAAAACCAGGCCACTAAACGCGGACTGCGATTCCGAAAATTGCATTTACCGGATACCCTGTGAGTGTGGAAAATCCTATATTGGTGAAACTAAGAGGCCATTGAATGTTCGCATTGCCGAGCACAAGAAACACACACAGCGAGGAGAAACTAGCAAATCAGGAATAGCAGACCATGTTTGGACCCATCAACACAACATCGAGTGGTCCCAAGCTGAGATCTTGCACAGAGAGGAACATTGGTTTAGGAGAAAATTCAAGGAAGCCGCATACATGTTGTCCAACAACGTATTCAGCCAAGCCAGCGTAGAAATACGCATCATATGGAAACCCATCATCAAGCGAAAAATTGACAACTCCCGCCAAAACGGTCATCTCCCACGGAACCAGTGAAGCGGAAAATGGAAAGCGGGGATAAGTGAAAGTACTCGAACGACCTATAAATAGTCATCTCTCGGAGGAATCAGTCCAGTCGTCACCCGAAGACGGTTGTAGATACTAAGAATCGAAACGTCGAGAACTAACGTGACTTGGAATCTCCCCACTTTTTATTTTTATTTTCTTTATTTTTATTTATTCAATTGTTCTATTTTTACTTGTATTTTATTTCACTAATATTTCATTTCAGGTTTATTTTGGTTAATATAATTCTTATTTTCAGCTATTCTTTTTTAATTCTTCTTTTTTATTTGTTTCATAGATTTCAAATCATTTTTATATAGTAGACAATGGAAGTCCGAACTAGTGAAATTCATCTAACCATTAAACCATTATCTTACCATTGGAAAAGTAAATATTATACGTTTATTGCAAAAAGGTTGGGAACCCCTGTTGCAAAGAATACCAAAGTGATTAGGTGGAATATTTCTAATTCGTTTGGGAATAAATGAATTTTCTACTCCTCTATAAGGAAGGAAGAAAACACTCAATTTTAAAATAAACTGTTTACAAAGATTTGTAGATCATGCACATGAATTTCTTTCAGATACAAACTACTTTCACATGAACATTGTATTATACGACAAACACTTTTTTCTATCCATATTGTTCAACCTCAATAGCCTACTTCGAAGTTTCGGTTCAAGACACCTGTCTTATAACCTCATCAGTGCCTTTTTTGGATAACAGTACAAGACGAAGCACTCAATTTTTCATAGTGTTACGACTTAATGTCACCTGAAAAACTAAATTCACTTATGTTACGACGACAGTACGTAATGCCCTACGTCAATACCAGTCATAGAAATCTTGTTTAGATTTAAACCGAATCTTGTTTAATTTTCGGTAGAGATTAGTTTTTGAAGAAGAAATATTTTTTTAACTGTTTTCCACTGTCACAGTTTAATTTTTTGCAGCTACTATTTTTTTTATTTTTTATACTCATGAAAGCCATCTTTTCAGGAAAGGCGACTATTAGTGTAACAGCATTTTTTTTTAATTTTCAGATGTTCCTGCATGGTCAAGATCATCATGCTAGCTCTTACGAGTACTGTGGTATTATTATTGATAATACTTTTAGTTATATTTCTTTGATCATCCTCATACAGAAATCAGTGGAAGACTGATAATATTGAGACGAATAACTTTTGGCACTGAATCGAAACTACGTATTTATAATACTATAGTGAATAAAGATGTGAATAATTCGAAAAAATGAATGTCATAATTATTTTTCTTAATATGAGAAAACTGGCACAATAGATCAGAGAATGTTTCGAATACTTTGATTTACATGGAATTTTAAAAACCAAACAATTAAACAGAACAACTTTTAAGTCAAGATTTTTCAATTACTTTTCAGTGCAATATATTTAATACCAAATAATTGATACTAAAAAAGGAGTCCATTATATAAACTTGTAGTCACGTTAATCCAAGAATAGGTTCAAGGGCAAATTCATTCATTGAAAAGAGCTGCCATTCGGATACAATGGTTATAATAGTCCAGTTCACATGTACCATTTTCTTCTAAAATTTTTATATAGTCTCCGAAATATAGTCTCTAAAAAAGTTCCATCAATGAGTATATTACGAACAATAACAGTAAAAAAATAAGTAGAACTAATTTGATTATAACTTTTGTAATTTTTTTCAGGGCCTTTTCAAACTTTCCCTCAAACTTTCTACGTGACAATACGAATTGAATGACTCCTTGATCTTAATTTTCAGAGACTACATAAAAATTTTCATATTTTCAAGAAAAAATGGTACTAAACTATAAATACCAAATGGGTCAGAAGCTCTTTAGCAATGATCCAAAAAGAAGATTTTAATTTCGCAAATAGTTTCAATGGAAAATACAGATTGACGATATTGATGTTGAGAGTGATGGAACCACATTAACGAATTATTGCAAATTCACCTGAAAAACAAAACCAGACAAACTCTCATGTTATAATAGAATGTTTTTGTTTTTTCTCAACGATGAGACGACAGCTAGACTTATTTTGAAAATAGAGTAGCTTTGTTTTTTTTATTCTGATGTGTTTGAGTAAAGATCGAAATTCTAGTAGTATCACTATATTTTCTTGAGAAAACCTTTCTGTATAATTATTATACGGTTTGCAACCTAGGCGATTCAACCAATACTATCTGAGTGTATTTCTGAAACATAAATTATTCAAATTAATTTGGTCGATGCCACAGTTTACAAGCGTAATAGAAATATAAAAATTGCAGTTTATTATTCATGATGGGTTCCAGAAACTTCTATAGAAATATCATTATAGTCTTATTTCGCTCGTCTGGGCTATACGTGGCCCTATTAAGAATTCACGAACTATCGATTAAAGAACTAACAGACGTTTGAATTAAACGACCATCATTAGGTAGAAAAGTCAATTACAATCAGCAAGGAGTGCTTCAAAGAGAATATAAACATACAGAGCAGCAAAAGCAAAATTTGTAGCTAATTGAAAGTAATATAGGTACCTAATTGAAGGAAAATCTGTTTACCTCTGTTTAAAATCTGTTTTTCCGTTAATCAGCTGTCGCCCCCATACGAACGACAACTCTCAGAAGTTGAGAGACTTGTGCGAGCTAAGGCCTAACGAGGTCTTACCTTTTAACGTGTGATTACTAACACGGTTGGAGAATCATCCCAGCTTCAACCAGATAAATTGTCTCGAAAAAAATATCTAGTCGAGGCGGGAATCGAACCCACGGCCTTCCAATCGTGAGTCGAGCGCACTTTGCGTTGTCAAATCCTAATTCGACTGGCATAATAAAGTAATGATAGTTGCATGAAAAAAGCTTTGTTTATAACAATTTTTGAGACTCACCAACTACCGATTCAACAAATAAGTTAGCACAACGTCTGTCTAAACTTCAAATGGTTCACATTCAATCAGTCAATGCCACAGTTTCCAAATGTAATAAAAAATCTAGTTCATTATTGATGAATAGTTCCAGTAACTCCAATAGAGAAATCATTATCAGTTCATTTTGCCCGTTTTGATGTACGTGGACCTATTAAAAATGTATGAACTATCGATTGATTGTGGGAAAATACACATCATGGGAACTAACAGATAGGTACTTCTATTGAAGGATCATCGTCAATTAAACGTGGTAAACTTAGAGTATTATTAAAGTAAAATAACACTCGTCACTGACAGATGTTTTCAATACTTTTTATTAATTCAAAAAATTGATGTGGTTCTCAAATATCGCAAACACTGAGAGAAATTTCTCTTAACTCTTTTTTCTTCTCAATATTCAAATTTGTAGATATCCTACAATTTGAACTCGATTTGACCTTGAATTTGAATAACTTTCTACAAAAACTAGCGCCGCTCATGGTTATTTTATGAAAATTCAGAAGAAGTCAACTACGACCGTAAAAAATAATTAATAGTGATACAATGGACCCCAGTGATGATGAATCATCAATCTACTTATCTTGTGATCGTCAATAGAAGATAATTAACACGATACTTACTTATATTTTGACAGCTGGAAGGCCCTCTCTGTGAGAAACTGGAAATAGAGGAAGCAACGATCCGTTTGCCCACCAGATGCCTCCAACGTTTCGTTTTTTGGCTAGTCTGAAAATTGGGCATTTTCAACGTTGTATTACAAAGAAAAATATCATCGCCTTTACCAGGACAGTTGAGTGATTCAGCCTAGCATTACTGATGAGATCTTGGTGACTAGAAACAGCGTTATTTGGTTTTGGATCACAAGTATATCTGGTTGCCTTGCAGTGAAAACTGCAGTGGAAGACAGACGATGAACCTCGTTCGGTGGTCAAAATCGAAGCTTGAATTTGCAACTGACCGTCTTCTGTCGAGAGCTTGGTGGATTGAAACAGCGCTGTCTGATGTTGATTCACAAGTACATTTGTGAAGAAATGGTTGTTTTATTCGTCATTCCAAGCAGTTTTTCCAGCTACACTGGGTATAATGTCCTTAAAATCAGTGTTGGTGGTTTGACCAGGTTAGCTTTCCAAATTTCTGCTACCGCTTTTGTCGGTTGAAAACCACCAACACTGACATAAAAACTTGGCAAGTTGACTTGGGTGTCACACCAATAGGTGGTTCCACTTACGTTTCGCTTGCGTTTACGCAGCTATTTTTATCAAGTAATTTCTTGGTTTTTCTCATTTTTTCTTACCAGTTGAAAGGGGAAGGGAGCCAGGCTTCAACCTGTAGGAGCTGAAACAGCTGTATANAAAGTATCTTTATGAAAAATAAAATAAAAAATCATAATATAAAAATTGAAGGCATTTAAATGGTTTAATGAAAAAATAGCTTTGGTAGGTATACGATTATAAAATTAAAAACAATATATTAGAATCGCATTTTTAATTCATTAATCAATTTATTCTATGCTAACAGCAATCATTTCAATAAATGAAATATGAAAAAACCGACATTCAATCATATCCTGCTGCTGTCGAATATAATTAAAAGTCCGTTGTTGTATTGGTTACAAAAGTAATTGTTTTACGGAAGGCAATTGCCATATCCTACTATTTATGAACGTTTTTAATGAGTTGTATTAACCTTAAACGGCTGGACAATGCATTATTATTAGCTTTGGTTTTCAAGTTATAAATGCTCCAAATCAATTGACCGTAATTAAAGGCAAATGTGTCGTGAAGCTACTGCTTGGGTGCGACCCACGAAACGAAAATACAAACAAACACGGCAATTCAGAAGGTACGAATTAGTCACTTTTAATTTAACCACCCACAGAATAATCAATAAGCAAGAGCTGGAAATAGAATTAAAGTTGTCACAAAACATGACAATTCCGATTTCTATCATGAAGAAATGAGTCACCGGAAATTTGCATGTATCCCAAAGACAATATAATTCAAAATAAGTTTTGGCCTTGAACAGAGATCAATTTAAAGAAATCGATAATTAAGATCTGACAAATTGGTGAGGATGTAAAAACAGAGCGTAACCACAATTTCTTATTCTCCTTTCGTAGATCATTTTGGCCTTTTTTTTGTACCAACCGTATATGTACAACTTCAGTGTACATCTATTTTATTCCATGAACAAAAATAAATAATTCATTAGCAGTAACTTGGAAAATTATAGACTTCATGAGAAGCAAACCATCTGTTCCGTTTTCTTCAACAGCTATTCAACAAATTACAGACTTGGATAATTTGGATTTATAGCAATCAGCTACGCCTTCGTGATATCTATAATTTTGTCAGAATAGATAAGTTTTTAACATGTTGTATATCATGAATCACAAGTTTATTTATATGTCACAATTATTTATTATTATTACCTACGAAATCAAAACGTAGCAACGGATTAACAAAGTATCTTATCATTTCTGTAAAAAGTATTGTTTTTCAGTGTGAAATAAAATTCATTCATTCAACTCTATATTCACTTTCAACTTTTATGAAAATCCAGAGTTTTTTTTATTACACGCTTCATATTATCTTCACCTGAATGTATGTATGTTTGTTTGTTTGCTTGTAACTCTCAAGCTCTGGATCTGTATTTGACAGAATTATCGACATTATTGCTTGATCTATTCGCGGGCAGATGGCGCTGTGCGTAACCTCCTTAATATAATTCGAACTCACTTAATATGTATTTCTTCATTTGAAAAAAGTTTTTTTTATCAACACGCGCGCCGGCTGCCTTATTTGTAGCCCTCCGTTGCGCGCCTGCTGCCTTGGGCTTAGTAGCGGATTTTCAGACTCTCTCTCCGGAATAGGAAAATATCAATGGTAATTTTTCTAAACAATATACGGCTGATTGATCACAAAGTTTAGGTAAAATAAATATAGTTTAAGAAGACTAAAAAACAAGCTTTTATAGCAAACGAAACTAAAAAATGAAAAATAAATATAGTTTAAAAAACTAAAAAACACGCTTTCGAAGAACATCGAACTAAAAAGT